TTAGTTTATCTCTTTATCTTCGGGATTAGTGAGTGCCTCACCAGTTGAAAATCTTTCATACAAACGATACAATGTGTTCGCGGAAGGCGCACTTTTCACTTTATTTATTTTTCTCCATGCACGTTGAGTTTTAACAATTGACTTGTTTTGTTGAATGTAAATTTCAACAATCTGAGAGCGTTCGCGTGGCGTGTACTGTTCCATGGCACAAATTTCCTTCGACTGACGCTTCAAACGCGCTACGTCGTTACTCGATCTAACATCTCTGTCAAAAGTTACAGTGTTGCCACATCTTTCCGTCGAATATGGCCAACCCTGTACTTGACTAAGCATTTCAAAGTGTTTTTCTAAAGTATTCGTTGCTATTAGGAAGTCGTCCATGTAAGCCACATTTCCACTTCATATCAGGTCACTCAGAACTTCGTTTACGTAACATTGAAATTGCGCAGGAGCGTTTTTTAAACCAAACGGCATTTTACGATACTCATATTAACCGAATGGAGTTACAAACGCAGTGTACTTAATATTATCTTCGGCTACATTTATGGTGAAATCCGTCATCCTTGAAGTCGAGCAGCGTAATATATCGCTTGTGTCACAATGCATCCATTTGATCTTCGATAACGGGAAGTAGGAAATTGTCTTTAACTTTATTTAAGGTTTTGTAATCGATATATAAACGAATCTTCCCGTTCTTTTTTTTGACTATTCTCGATACATACTCCGAATTTCCTGATCATACAATTTTTCACGCTAATAGATTGCCTAGAATCTCCCACAATCGGCTCTTTTCAACATACGGTAGTCCTCCCGACGTAAAGTGAAAAGGTTGTTTATCCTTGACAATACCTGTATATATTTTTATTTCAGCCTTGACTTTTGGCGGTCTTTCTGCGCCTTCGTGCGAAAAAGATGAAAGAATCTATTTCGCGTCTTGCTAGACATTTCGGGATTTACATCTATCTCATCTAACTTATCTCTCTTGGAGACGCTTACGTCAACGTTTAGTATTTCCGGCGTTTCCGTTTCGCGTTCACCCTCTAACTTACTTAACTTTAATCTTAATACTCTGATTGTGTTTCTTCTTAATATTGCGTCACATTTGATTGCGTAGTCGGATACAACTCGAAATACTATCGCGTTTGCGCTTATTTCCTCTCCGAAAACTTTTGCTTCGATCTGTCCCAATATCTTTAATATCGATCCATTAAGCCCCTCGTAATTAAGACCGTCTTTAACTATCGCGATCTGATCCGACGAGATAAATTTCGACTTCAACAAACTAATCAAATTCACGGTATCAATCTACGCCACGCACTCTCGACGGTACTTAAGTTCGTCTCTATTTATCTGTAGTTCCACAGTTCTGAAGAATTCGTTGTTGTTCCGACTTTCTTCAGCCACGTTGGAGATCTGTTCCGCTCCCTCTATTTGTACCAGCACCTTCGGCGCTGTCGTCGTCTTCTTTCTCTATGGGCAATCCCACAGGCGGTGATCGGTCGCCCCGCACTCGTAACACCACCCGCGCTCCCTCTTCAGCTTCTCACAATTCTTCGCTATGTGTCGCAGCTGATCACAATTGTAGCACTTTTTTCCGTGCCACCTTGTTCTGTCGCTTCTTGCAACTCTGTTTGTGGCCTCGTCTTGCGTTTAAACTCTGTTTTATCGTGGCGTTAGTACTGCCACTATCTTGCGCATAATTTCGGTTTGCCGTTCGGATCGTGATTTTTCCGAATGGCAAACCAAAATTATGCGCGAAACCGGCACTTTATTCGCGAGGATTGCTTTATCATAAAGATAATCACTAAAGGTCATCTAGCTCATATGTAGCTTGAATCAGTTCAAACTGTTTACACCATACAAAAAACATACCTTCCGAACCCGTAAATTCACTTAATAACTCGCTGACGGTCTTAGGTTGTGAACGCGTCATTGATGTTTAACTGGCGATTGTCGCCGGCGAGATAATCATGGCCGTTCTGTTTGCTTTGAGTTCCCGCGGCACAGGATTTCTAGTTCTCGCTGCGTAAGATCGCGTTCTCTTTTTAAGATTTTGAGTTCTCTGTCTTGCTCAGTCTGTTCCATTACATAATTGTTCGAACGCGGCGAACTTCGTGAGGCGATCTCTTGTCATACCTCTTCTTTGACTGTGATCACGTCGCGTTGCCGTTGCGTCGTCGTTCTTTCTATCTCTGTCAGCGTTTCTTCCACCAGAATCTCTCCTTTCCACCGCTTCCACGAGCCTGAGGGATCATGTTCATAGAATCTCTTCAACAGTTCTGATTTGTTGCTCTTGATGGAGAGATCTAAATTAAGTATGGCCTTCAACTCTGACAGTTGTCTTATCGCCGTCCATTTTCTCTGCCCTTCAGTTCATTACCGATTTCGCAGATGTAAAATTACTTATATACGTAAACCGAGAATTTTCCGCGGCTAGCAACGCTTGTCACATGTATGTTGTCCTTTTTTAACACACAAGTTTTAGCACATAATCTTTGTTCCATAGGTTCGTTATCACATAAGTTCCTTATCACGTAAGTTTCTCATCCCACTTCTGAGAAATGTTGTCTCTGACTTACATAAGCGTCCAATTTACACTTGTTGTTGTTTAATGCAAAGAATAAACGAGGAATTCGTAAGGGATAGGCATATGCATAAGACATTACAGGATAGTCAAATAATATAACATCAAATCTAATGGCTTTATTCAGCGAATCGAGTATAGATTATGGAACAATGTGTTTCGGCCAAGGCCCATGCTCAGTACGCATCGCTAGCCGCGGAAAATTCTCGGCCCTCTCGCATGATCCTCGCTCCCTATTGGGCGACGCGGTCGCGTGATCTCGTCGCTTCGCTATGCAATCATCGTGTTTTCCTTCAGCTTCTTCCGAAGATTCTCGTGTTTAACGGAAATTTGATCACAAAACTTTTACTCAGAAAATAATAGTTATTGATTACTCTTTTATTTTCGTTATTGTTGCATGAATTAAAAAAATTAATATGTAGGAGATATTTATAAATTTGTATTAGCAATATATATATGATGAACAAAAGTTATATTATTAATTGTTTCATATAAATAGAATTTACCTATTTGATAACGTACGCTTAACTGTTAAACATTTCTTAATTATGTACTATAGTTTTTTTGCGAGTTCAACAAACACAGTTCAGATAAGCGTACGTATTTAAACAGATAAATTGTTATACAAAGTTACAAATATCTCCTACATATTTATTTCTTTAATTTACGCAATAATTACGAAAAAGAAAGAATAATCAATTACTATTATTTTCTGATTAAAAGTTGTCTATTGTTGGAAAAAATGGAAAATATAGTCTTATTCAAAGTTTTTTGTTATATTTGACATATTCTTTGAACCTTACTTTATGTTCGCTTTGCATTAAATTCAAATTTCAACTCATTTCAATAGTGATTATATTAAATTTCTGCACTTAAAGTAGTTATAATATATCAGCAAAATTACTTTTAAAGATTTATTTAAAGCTTTCATTATTTGAAGATAATAATGATATTCTCTATACATACATATCATTTTAAGGAGGGTTAATCAGGCATATTTAAAAGATAATTGCATTTAAAGTTAGTATTTTTAACATGTACTAGACAAGGAGTTTTCTGTGCCGGACAAGAAGCGATAGTACATTTTTAATTACAGCGCAAAAACGGTATTTAGAAATTCGCTCAAAAACTAAACTATATAGATAAATATGTATAATATAAATCTCTTAAACCAAAGAAAATGGGGGGAGGGGTAACCATGCAAATATTAATTATAAAACTATAGAAGTTGCTTTACTACTTCATTAATATTCACTTCGCTTATGAAATACCAGAGCACAAATGGGGAAATGAAAATTACTATTTGGAAATAAAAATTATTGTTAAAAAATTGCGATCTACAACAATTTTTGAATAGTAATTTTTTTTCGCCAAACTGTGCCCTGATACAGCTGGTGCTTTGAACGATTGCCCCCCTTTCTCCCCCACAAATCGCTCCTATGCGATATAACTTTAAGTGGTCAATCACTGTACACTTTATCCTAATTATGAAACATAATGCATATAACTATCACAAAACAATATCACAATACTGCAATTTACGTTATGTATCTGTACATAATATAATTTTTACATATTTCTGTATAGATTAACTAAAAAATTAACAAATATAAGGAAATTTAAAATACAAAGCGCCTACTGGTCTGAGTGTTAAAATGTTGAACTACTATATATTATATACTCATTTAAAATAAATTAATTTTCAGAAATAATAATTGTGTGCCGATAAGATTATCGGACATTCACACAATCAATCTGAAATAATCCCCTCAAAATTTCCCAAATAAAAATTTCCCTTAAAAAACTGTAATAAACTGTAATAAACTATGAATCCCTTTTTGATAATTAAATTATTATAATTAGCTTAGAATTTTAGGTTAATGGTTCTCCTGCAATGGAGTTCGGCATTATTCTTTATCAATACAAAACATATTGATCAATTTATGGATTACTTGTTGAATTTGCTATTGGCGTTAATGTTTCGGTGAATAGCTGTAACCGTGACAAATATCAAATTGATTAGTCTTCATTTAGCGAGAAAATTTATGATAGATCCGAGCAAATCGAGCCGTTTCATTATATCATACCCTTCGGAAGGGGATGGAGGAAAGTATTGAATGAAAGTTGAATATAACGCAAGATAAGGTTTCACGGTTTTATTTATTATGTAGTGGATAGTCGAGCGACGTGGAATTGCACCGGAACGTTGGAGATGACCAACGAGGGGTAGCACGGAGGCCCGCGCGGATTCGAGGTTTGTTTACTGAGGCGCGGGTTGCGTGCTCTGCCGGCATGGAACAGTTGAGTCTACCCTAGCGTTTTTTTTGCTCGGTGGTGCGCGCGTTTTCCCAGCCGCACGTGGTAGCCCAGCGCACCGGCTGGGAGCCTTTGAAGTCTGCGGGAGCTGCAGGAGTGGGAGAGTCCGCCGGAAAAATCGATGGGTCGAAATCTCGAATGGCCTTCAGTCCCTGGTAAATTTGTAAGGCTTGGATACGCCTCCCTGCGCGGTTTCCTCTTTTAATCATTCTACGAGAAGCGGTTTTTTTATTACATTACCGTCGTGGTTAATTGAACAATTGCCTTTTTGAAACGGAATCGAAAATAAATTGTAAAGGAAGCAGATAATAACGAAGGGAAGAATTGAGCAGCTTCTACGAGCACGGTCAATTCTGGGAAAGGTCAGGCTGAGCAGTTCCTACAAGCGCGGTCAGTCCGAGGAGTATAGGACAGGGAAAAGTTGAAAGAAATTAATTAATACGCCAGTCGGTGGCGCTCGTGAATCAGGAGGAAGGGGGAG